TATATCCATTTTCATTTGACTGTAATTATTATTTAAAAATATTAATAAAAATAATAATCTTAAACAATACATGCCCACATCAGTGGGGGAAAAAAAAGACAAAAAGAACAAAAGACAAGGCAGGGAAGAAAAAACAAAACAAAAAAACAAAAACAAAAAAAGAAAAAAAAAGAATAATAATAAGAATAAACATTATTTATTCTTTCTTTGAATATCACGTAGACTTACTGTGAAGGGAATTTCTCTGCCTGCATAGCTACGGAGCCCAAGCAATAGCCCCGTTCGTTATTGTCTGGGTCTCCCATGTAACGCTCGGTGTAACCCGTGTCGTAGAAAAGCCACAAAGTGACGGGAGCACCAGCAACTGCCACCTGCCCAAAGAAAAGTCAAGTTGGCTGCAAGCATTTGGAAGAATTGTCTCGACTAGAGCAAAGCCTAACCCTACCCATTCTCTCTTCTCTCGCCCTCGGGTGCTTTGGAAAATAGGTTGACCCCCCATTTCTTCTCTAGGGCAGCTCCTCAAATACTGGAATACCTCTCACAGTGATGCCTAAACTTTTTGTCCTTGCGTGCCAAAAGCCCATAATGCAATGCACGTACAACACCGTGTGCTCGGCCCCCTGCTCATGCACGTGTGAGTCCCCCGTGCGACTCTCATGACCCGTTTTGGGCCTAGCAGGCCTCCCTGAAGCCTCGTGGGACCAAAAATGGGGGGGGGCATGACGGACCTCCCCTGTGCTCCCGCATGACCCCCGCCCCCCTGTGCATGTAGCGTGTCTCTCGCATGTGTGGCAGAGACCTGAAAATCAGCTGGCCGGCGGGAGGCACGCACGCATGCATGGTGGGGCTGAACTGGGGCGATGGCTTGCATGCCTGCAGAGAGGGCTTAGCGTGCCACCTTTGGCACCCTTGCATAGGTTTGCCATCACGGACCTATCATGTCACCCCCTGGGCCTTCTACACTCCCGCATCCCCCATGCCCAGAGGAAGGGAATGGGCCGTGCCAGGGGAACCAACCTTGAAGATCTCTGGCCTCTGCAGCAAGGCCATCAGGGAAAGAAATCCACCGTAGGACCAACCATGAATGCCAACCCGGTCTAAATCGATGAACTCGTATTGGGAAGCCAAATACTGTAAGCCCTCCACTTGGTCGCCAATTTCAATTTGTCCCTGTTGGAAGGGGAAAAAAAATAGACATGGGGGGAAAATATCACGTATATATCAAGTATGTAAATTAGGGAATAACAGAGTTAGAAGGGACCTTGGCGGTCTTCTAGTCCAGTGGTCTCCAACCTTGGCAACTTTAAGACCTGTGGACTTC